CCATTTTCAAAATGCTGTTAAAATACTTGCTACTGTCACTTTAATTTTAGTTTGATATTAAAAAAATAGGAACAGGAACCAACTTCACAGACATTCGAAATATCTTTATCATATGTATAAATTCTGATGATTGGATTGGATTTATTCGGTGTAAACACCAAGGATAGTCTAGAAGAAGACTTATTTCCAGTGGGGTCCTTCCGGTGGTGATTGGGCAGTACACGGCAAGACAATCCCCTAATCTTTTCCGAAGAGTGTACTTCGTTCTTTAACGTGCACATGGGCCATAAATGCGCACAGGTTCAATGGCTCAAACATGTCATCCGAAAGACGGTGTGCTATTGTAACTTGTATTTCAGCCCTCCCGCTGAAACACAAGGAGAGGCAGCGATGGGAATTGAACCGGTGACCTAGAGATCTCCAGGGTTCAGCGCACACACAGTGGCTACCACCAGATAGCCGACTGAGCTACGCTGCTCTCTTTCAATATAAATAATACATTTCCTGTATTATTTGGATTAAAATCTATGTAGAAAATCACCTGAAACCATGTATGTTATGACAAAAGGTAAGCTAATTAAAACAATTTCCAGTTTTAACTTGCAAGTAATCAATATTATCATATTTGGAACTTCAATATGGATTAAGCAGGGAGATACATTTCCCTGGATTAAGCATATAGCTTTTAAAAATGTAATATCATGTACCATGCACAGAAATCTTCTAATTGTGTGTGAAAATAAAAATTTATTGTGGTTTTAGAGTGACACAGAAAGTGCAGCATGTTTCCTTATTTATAAATGGGATTTACTCAAATTCCATCCCCTCACCAAATTTTGTAACACTTTGTGAGCAAATACCAAGAGGCATTTGGGGCAGCCAATCGTGTACATACACATGAATACTGATTCTATTTTGCTAATGAGCCAAACTTTTATATAGGCCTATATAAATCTCTTGCGGGCAATATAATTAAACAAAAACAGTTCTTTTTTATCTACCTGTATTTGCATGGAGTACACAAACATTTATTAAAAATCTAATAATATTATCGATACATTTTTTCTCTGTGGTATCGAGGCGCATAAGTTGTTTTTTCTGAAGCTATTTATTGTGCTATCATAATTTATTAAAATTTACTTTAAATTATATAAATGTATATCCAATAATGTATTTTTGAACGTAATTATTCAAATAAAAGTGGGTATACAGTATGTACACAATACACAATCCATTCATTATATACTGTACCAGTATCGCATTCTTATTCAGATTGTGTATCATAGAAAGTTTACTTCATCTGTTAATTGTTCCTATTAAGCATCTACTATTTTGAATAACTATTATTAGTGCTATAAAAATTTAATATTGTATATACAATACATCATCCTTTTGAATTAAAAATGAACTACAGTACTGATATAATGTCCATAACGACCATGAACTTGTACTATAATGGACCCACAAGAAATAATTATTATATATTTAATCTTCTGTTCCTATTAAGCATGAATTACCATTTTTAGTGCTGTAATAATTGAATATACATCATCCCTTTATTAAAAATGAACAACAGTGTATTGTAATGTTTGTCCATAATGACCATCAACTATTATAATGTACACACAAGCCATAATTGTTATATATTTAAACTTTTGGTCCTATTAAGCATCAACTATTTTGAATTACTATTAGTGCTGTAAAAATTGAATATACAATACATCATCCTTTTAATAATTAATTAAAAATGAACGACAGTACTGTAATGTATGTCCTGACTTTAACTACTATGAAATATTATAAGGTACACACACATGCCATAATTATATACTACTGAAGTATTGTGATTTTGTATTGACGTATATTTTTACATAGGCATTACTATTATTATTGTTATTATTATTATTATTATTGCATTATTAATAATATTATTATTAGTATTATTATTATTATTAGTGCATTATTTGTCTGCAAACAAATTTAGAGATACTTATATTTGAGTATGTCATATTGATCACTTTGCCAAGGTTTTGTATTCATCCCTGACTCTGTTAGCATGATGCGCAAAAAACGAATGAATAGTTTATCATAAAATTTAGTGGCGTATAATTGATCTATGTAAGAAAAGAATTTTGCCCCAATAAAGCTCTCACCCCTCCAGCCCTTTTCCCAAAGTAGTTAAGAATCACCTCATACAACATTATTTTGCCAGCGAACACCCCCACCAACAACTTCATCTGTGCACCTCCATTTCCAATACCATTGATATGCCACTGTTGACAGCTCTAGCTGTTTATGTTATGTGAGTATATAGTTGCATACTGTACATGATATTGATGTTTGTTGTGTTGTGCTGTTCCGTCAGATGCAGGTGGTTTTTATAAACATTAATTTCTCACCAGTAACAAATTCATGAAGACAACTAATATAGTCATATAGTATTTATGTTTTTAATTTTTGCTACGATACAGATTAACCAAAATTCTTCTCCATAAACACCAACTCAAATATAATTTTACGAAAAAACTAACTTAAAAAATAAACCCCTATCATTTATTATACTGTGTTATAATTACGGTTGTACCCTCTTACTCAACGAAAGTCAGCAGGGGGTTCATTAGGGAGGCAGGGTAGCGCTTAGATATGCTTGGCACACTGCGTCAACCGATGGGTTTTGGGGCAAAGACACAGCAATGGGACGAGGCGAGGTTCACAAACAGTTCATTTTCAATTCACACAAAGCGGTTGACACAATGTAAGCCTGGCTGCAGAGAGTAGTATTTTGCTGTGAAGAATTCCCATGATTCTATTTTTAAAAACCGTATTAAAGCTTTCTTCTTTGAGAACAAATTCATTTGGAACTGTAAATGTTTATTCTTAATGAAAATAAGTAATATTCTAGTTTAATATTTAGAATTTGAACAAAAATAACCAACATTAAAAGTTATTTTAAGCTTATTTCACCTTTCTATAATATTACTCATACATACCTAACTGAAATTATTTTTGTAAATGGAAGAAGAACATAATATGACAATGTATAACATCTCATGCATAATAGAGATGGGAATGTAAAATCTCTGCACCAAAAATATTACTATTTCTGCACCTTTAAAAAAATTAATGCAAATTGGTACACTGATGATTAAAAGTAAATCTCTGCACCATTGATAGAAACAAGCACATGAAAACACTAATGTAAACACTAATTTAAAAGTAAAGTCTTTACACTTTGATTAATAAATACAGATAACTACATCGATGATTGAAAGTATAATCTCTGCACCTCCATGACACATTGCCAATGGTTTGGAAGTGATCAGATGACTTGATTGAAAATTCTTACACCACACTATTTATATAACAGTAATACCCTAAAGTACTTGAATTTCATACATTATATAAAAACAGATGTAACCTGTGACGTATCTAGGGGTGCATGGGGCGTACTACCCCCCCCCCCCCAAAAACC